ATTCATGATCATGCTGAATAGACCACGCACCTCAAATCATCCCCATAGACTTCATTGGACCAATTGACGAGACGCCCAAATCTTTCTATACGGCTATGTAGCTTATTAGCTAGAACCATATACTGTAACCAACTATAACATAATGTATTGTCAAGTCCCTTCGTCCATTTGATGTTAGTGCTAGCTACCCGGGACAATGGATAATTTCAAACTGCCATATATATGGTAAGTGGTAAGTCAAGACCATTCCGTCTGACATCTTGCCGACCAATGATCTCCTACCATGGTACTGATTGAGTGTGTCGAGGTACCAATGCCAAAAAGTTTGTGCGTCACTCCCATTTTGGCTAAGTTGCGACATGATTGGATCCACAAATTGTAATAACAAATAGAAGTGTAGTTCAAGTACATCCATCAATCACCGTACTGATAGCGACAAGTTAGTCACACTGTTCACTTGGCTGTTTGTACTAGGACTATTATTACATATGTTTTCTATAATATCATAATGAATCTAGGTTCTTCGTACTGTACAGTATTGCCTCGTCTTGCCTTCCAAGCTAAGATGCCTTTCCATCTCGAGCTTGGGCAACTTGCAACGCTGCGTCCTTTATTGAAATATAGTGATGGTAGGAAAGGTCAAGCGAACAGTTTCCAGACCAGGTGAACTACTAGCCTCCAATACAATATCTTGTTCATTGCCATTCAAGGTCAATCCCGGTGGACCGTCAATTGATGGCAGTATGGCCTTTTTATAGAACCACCGCTCGGACCAATCCATGATACGCAATATGCCACGGAGTATTGTCGGATGACTTTGAATTGCCACTTCCTTTTCCTTGGATCTCTCTTGGTCCATCATAATGGCAAAGGAAACCTTTTGACTATTGGCCGGTTGCATCAACGATTGACGCTCGCTCGGATCAGTGCCGCATCTTGGCCATCCAAAAAGAGGGCACTTCAGAGCAATTAGCGGGCCACAATTCATGACTTCTGTGGATGCGACAGCGTCGCCAGCTTCTTCCATCCGAGCAACTGCTGCAAGAGATCCAGCCTTCCATTCGACATTTTGACTATTAGCCATGTGTAGTACCACCTGGCCAGTTGACCATTCAAAAAGAGGGCACTTTCTGTTCCAGTGTGAGGCAAAGGGCAATGGATACTCAGTTTCAAAGCAAGTGGAGGACCACAAGTTGTGACTTCTGTGGATACTGCCACGTCGTCATCTTCTTCCATCCGACCAACAGCTGCACGAGAACAAGCCTTCCATTCCATGTCTTCAAATTCCGCATACAACCCTTCACCTCAAACCATGGACGCCACGGAAAGTATTCCTTGGGAAGCATTGTTGACAAACAAAAGGATGAATGGCAAATTCGAGTAGACATGAATCGTTCTCGTTATATTGCCCTTAGTCCAGTCCCAGCTGTCGGGAGACTCCAAAGATTCCACCAGCTTGACTTCGTGCTTGCCCTTGGTTTCAAATGTCTTGTCGGGTCGACCATCTGTCACACCATTCAAAAGTCATTGACTACAGACCCAAAATACGGCTGGCTTTTCAAACCCCTTTAAATCGAATTGACCATTTGTACTCGACACTGTCGTGGGGACACAATAAGAAATCTTCAAACCCCACGCAGCCACAGCGGCGTCGAGCGCCATCTGAAACCAAGTGGAGGATAACCTCTTTCTTCACTTATTGTATGAGGAAGTGCACACGTACCAGCTTCCGCATCGTGTGGTTAAGGAAGATTGGTGATTTGCTATGATTTGTGATTGACAACGCCTTGCTTTTGTCATTGGCCCTTCTTCTTGATGTGTCACTACGCTCTGTCGCATTTCTTTCTCCTACTAGGCCCTGCAGTATCAATCTCTTTCGAGCCCAAGCTTCTCGCAGTATGATATTGGTGGCAACTTCCGACGTACTGCTCACAATTCACCCAATCCGACTCTGTTGGACTTGTACGATCGATTGGGCATGGTGGTTTTGAATGAGAATTGGCTCTTTGGGAATAAAACAAAGTAGTTAGAGAACATGAAGGCACTCGTCAATCAAACGGGATCGGAACCATCCCAGTGTCATCTTGTGGAGTTTCTGCAACACACATGGCTGCCAAGGACAACAAGAAGTGGCCGGTGCAGTGTTTCAGGAAGTGGTGGATACCTACGATGGAACCCGACCTATGTTGGCCAATATGATGAAATATGGAGGCATCTTGTCCAACACGGTCGATATCCAAGGTGTCTCTTAAGGGCCCGGGGAAAACTTGGACGACTGCCATGCCAACTTGCCTGAGAACCCCATGATGCAGTCCGAATGCTGTTCATGCAATACTACTATGCAAGGAGAAGATGCTGGATGCGAAACGACCTATAACAATCCGGTATGTGGTACAGTGCTGCATTTGACTGGCTGGGTGTTGTAATGATTGATTGATTGATTTGATGCATTCATTCGTATTCATTAATCTAACCCAGTTTTCTTTGCTGCTCCTCTTTTCTCTGAACTTTTAGCATTATGCCTCTGATCAAGGAGCTTTCAATGGCCGCTGCTTGGAACAAACCGTCAACGCTTCAGATACTGTGGCATATGCCGCTGTAACCCTTGTCTGGAGCTTTTTGACTACTACAGGGAACCTCCTTCGGCTATATGGTGTCAATAATGCGGGGGTCAGGAACTGCGTCAACTGGCAACTTGTTGCGAACCCGGAAGTACAATATAGTTTTCCGTAGCTTTGATGCTGAATAGCTACCACCCTATTGAGCTATCAACTACTATGGAAAGAATGCATAATAACTATAACTACTATATAGAGAAACATGTCGTAAATGAAGTTCACTTGAATGGTCCAAACCTCCCAAATGCCACAAAGTATCAGTATCCCACTGTTGAAATGCATAGCCAACATTTCACGAACCACGACATCTTGTAGCGTTGAGCATCTGCCTCTGAAAATTTCCGCTGCTCCACCAGTACCTCTGAGTCCTTGTGAACTACAGGTATCCATCGTATCCGCTCCCTCAAAGTCGATTGCTGACTGCTCCCTTGGTCCAAGTCGTACCATACTTGTAATCATAGAAAAGGGCTCGTTGGAGCTCTGCATTTGACGGACATGGCGGAGGAATCCGCGTCGCAACGTACATCACAATTCTGTCCTCAATGAATAGATCAAAGTAGACATACCAATGCCTGCCGGGAATCTTTGCATCGTCCTCGTAACTAGCACCATATAGAGGAGGTCCTTTCGAGTTCTTTGCATCCTACTATGCAAGGAGAAGATGCTGGATGCGAAACGACCTATAACAATCCGGTATGTGGTACAGTGCTGCATTTGACTGGCTGGGTGTTGTAATGATTGATTGATTGATTTGATGCATTCATTCGTATTCATTAATCTAACCCAGTTTTCTTTGCTGCTCCTCTTTTCTCTGAACTTTTAGCATTATGCCTCTGATCAAGGAGCTTTCAATGGCCGCTGCTTGGAACAAACCGTCAACGCTTCAGATACTGTGGCATATGCCGCTGTAACCCTTGTCTGGAGCTTTTTGACTACTACAGGGAACCTCCTTCGGCTATATGGTGTCAATAATGCGGGGGTCAGGAACTGCGTCAACTGGCAACTTGTTGCGAACCCGGAAGTACAATATAGTTTTCCGTAGCTTTGATGCTGAATAGCTACCACCCTATTGAGCTATCAACTACTATGGAAAGAATGCATAATAACTATAACTACTATATAGAGAAACATGTCGTAAATGAAGTTCACTTGAATGGTCCAAACCTCCCAAATGCCACAAAGTATCAGTATCCCACTGTTGAAATGCATAGCCAACATTTCACGAACCACGACATCTTGTAGCGTTGAGCATCTGCCTCTGAAAATTTCCGCTGCTCCACCAGTACCTCTGAGTCCTTGTGAACTACAGGTATCCATCGTATCCGCTCCCTCAAAGTCGATTGCTGACTGCTCCCTTGGTCCAAGTCGTACCATACTTGTAATCATAGAAAAGGGCTCGTTGGAGCTCTGCATTTGACGGACATGGCGGAGGAATCCGCGTCGCAACGTACATCACAATTCTGTCCTCAATGAATAGATCAAAGTAGACATACCAATGCCTGCCGGGAATCTTTGCATCGTCCTCGTAACTAGCACCATATAGAGGAGGTCCTTTCGAGTTCTTTGCATCGTTCTCGTAACCAGCACCATATAGAGGAGGAGGTCCTTTCGAGTTCTAAACTGAAGTGACTGCACCACGCACAATCACCATCGCATAGGACAGGAGCATCATCAATCTATGTATTCGGAGCGGTGCATTACTTCAATCGGAGTCAGATGATTTGACTTCATCCACGAGCGCGCCATCATCTGTTCCATCTTGCTCTTAAAGTCCTTCAACTGCTTTCCATCGATCGTACGAACTACGCAATAAGATGGAAGCTATGGTCACTGTGATTTGGTCAAAATCCGGGGTTGTCAGTCTCCGGACCCAATCCCGAGTACGAATGCCGAATGCGTCAGCTCATGCTCTGTGCTGTCAAGGTTCTGATTTGTGCTGTCAAGGTTCTGATTTGTGCTGTCAAGGTTCTGATTTGTGCTGTCAAGGTTCTGATTTGTGGGAGGCAGGCTCTCTCGCCAAAAACACGTTCCAGCAGTCCGTTATTATTGGACGAGCCACAGCACACGCGACCAGATTTGGAAGAGTGAAACGGCCCATAGAACAGGACCCTCCGCAACTCGTCTGTCAATCGACCGTTTTTTGAGCGGATAGACAATGCACATGCGCGCGTTGCATCCCCGACAGCAGGGGTCAAACCATAAAATAAAAAGACATTTCGAAACGATTCAAATGGATCGAAACGATTCATCACAACACGCGAAACGATTCAAAGGATTTCGAAACGATTCAAAGGAATCGAAACGATTCAAATGCGAAACGAAACGATTCAAAGGACTTTGAAACGATTCAAAGGAATCGAAACGATTCAAATGAATGATCTCGAAAGGATTCAAAGGAATCAACGAAACGATTCAAACGATCTCGAAACGATTCAAAGGTCGTATCAACGAAACAATCCAAAGGAATAAATGAAACATCACTGGTAAGGTAAGATGCAAATTGGTACGCCACTCGAAATCATGGCATCGAACCACTTCATCGTAACCGCAAACCTCCTGCATACCTTTGAAATATGGCAAGGAAAAAAAAGCTCCGGCCCGGGAAAGGAGCCATCGCTGAGATCCTGACGAAATTCATCAATGCCGAACAGCCAAATCAAGGAAGCAAACATCGCAGCATGGTCGTTCTGGAAGAAGAGGATAAAGACGA